AGCAGAAGAGTCCAGCCAAGTGCTTGAACAACACTTCTTGTCTGAAAAGGATCAGGGCAGGAAGCAAATACAGGAAAAGTCTCTTTAATCGAAGCCCGTAGCCTCATTCTGTGGTGTCTTGTGATGTGCTAGCCTTCAGGCTCACTGGCGTGGTGACTTGTGCTGCTGTTCTTGGAAGCTGAGCTACGCTTGTACCATTCAGTCCACATCGAGGGTTGTGAAACAAGTGGAAATGGTATAAACAATGTTACCTGACATGAAGACAAATATGAAACCTTCTATCATCTGATCTTTTAGGCTAGTGGACTTCAAATGGCTCTGTAACTCACTGTTTCTTCCTAATGATGCTGTAATTGTGTCTGAAGCAGCAATTCAGCACCCAGTGCACTCATCTCCCATTTCTCCCCTCTCTCACTCTTTTGCGCACTTGAGAATGTAGCTCTCCACTGTCTGTAGTCTCATTTTCTTGATGTTGTCACTGCCACACTCTGCAAATTGTGATATCTCCCTACTGAGGTAAGAATAACCCCAAATTTCTCAGCTTCTGAGTTGTGAGGGAAGGCATTCATGCCAATCACTGTGACTCTAGGAAAGCTCAATTCACTAACTTACAATACAGCTCAATGTGTTTCAGATTCTACCTCCTGCCATTTACAACGTGATGTGAATTCCTTTTCGGTGCTGCCTGTGGGCAGTTATTGGTGTTTCTGGAGCACTTACTTGCTTACCTTTGCATACCACAGGGTGAAGGCAATAATTGATCAAGGAGGAAGGAGCTGTGGGGCTCTTTGTCGTAGAAGACTGTTATGACTGTTTAACAAGTTTTCAAAAAGGGACAGGTCGTTTTTATGAACAACAGGAGTATTTAAATTTAAATTAAGAGGACAAATCACCCCTATGAGTATTCTAAGTTTCTTCCTCAGGCTTTGAGATAAGTGAGCATGACAAAGTTGGCTTTGTCCCTTCACCAAACATTAGCTGCACTGCAGGTCTCCTATTACTCAGTGGCTTTATGGACCAATTTGGGATATGTACTTCATTCATTTTCCACCTCAGACTCCAGTTTGGCCACACAGATAAACTTTATGCACAGGGTTAGCTCCTGAGCCCCACAGAACGGTCTCATGCAAATAGTGCCTGTAATGAGGGGACCCTGGTCTCCGTCAGTATCCCTCTAGGTGCTTTACCCGTGCTAAATAAGGATCATAACATTCACCAGCAGTGCCTGTAATGAGAGCAGCTTTCTCAGGTGGCTGGCAAGAGATCTTTCCCTTGTTACATCGATGACTTAGCTCAGTCCTCCACTGCTGTGCCCCGCAGCTTCCGCACACTTTATTAACCCTGCTCTTTCTCCCTCCGCAGTATGAACCTCACACGGTGATTTCTCAAGCTTTTCCTGCCCTTGGCTATGAATTGCATTACTGCCAGTGATTTCTGTGCTAGTAGTAGTTAGGAGACAGAAACAAACAGAAACCATGTGCTCTGGGCTCTCTACAAGCAAAAACAAACTTAGAGCCTCCAGTTGGGACTTTTACGAAAAGAAAAAAAAAAAAGAAAAATAACAACAGGAGAAAGTTAAAACTATTCTGTGCCTGGGGTCACGTCATTGAACCATTCAGAAACTCTGTGGCACTTTCAGACATGTGTTTCTCAGCCCATCTATACTGGTTCTTTCGTTAAAACCCCAACTGCTGTTAACACCAGTGGAGTAGTGGCCCAGACATCACAAAAGCAAATCCTGCCCCTCACCGGTTTGTGCTGCTTTGCCAAGGCAGCAGTGTGGTGGGGTGTGGGACTGAGGAGAGTCTGTAGCCAGTAAAGCAAAATGCTTGCTCTACAGCCTCTTCTTCATTGCTGTTAGGCCCTAAGACACGAAACTATTTAGCGGATGAAAACCTCTACTTACCTTCCGTGCCACACACGGAGTGTCTCAGAAAGGGAATGAGGCCGTGGTACAAGGTTGCTGATACCCAAAGTATGGCTTTTGCTAAAGGTAGCTGGACATGAGAGCCACCTGTCTCTGTTTCATGTCCAAAGCATTGTTTCACAAGGCTTCAGGTTTCATTTTGGTAAATTCTGGCTGCTGGCCATATTTGTACTTTATTTAATTTTACACCAGGAACACTTCTTCCCTCAGCACATGTGGCTTTTTGAAAACAAGGAGAGTTTTGATCATAACTATGTGTAGGGCCTGAGAGTTCCCAACACAGACCAGCCCCTCTTGCTCGAGGTCTTGAACAGACATCACTAAAAATTTGCCTCCGTCTCCAGCATCTTGCAATCCAAACAAAAGCCAACAGCTTGAGGCAGGCAGATGGACAAAGAAGACAAAACAGTGTGACCAAGAAGTAGCAAGGAGGACAAAGACCATGCAGCCAGTAGATGTTGAGGTTGTCTTTATATTCCAAGATGCAGAAGATAATACGATTTTGATGACTAGGGGGCAAAAGCTCTTTTTAGGAACTGAACCAAGAAGTCTACAACTATTTGTTTGATCCTGTTTGCCTCTGCAGCCAGTCCAATGTCCTGCTGTAAGTACTGTGGAAATAAGGTTTCTTCCAACTGGATTTAGTGATGTTCCAGCATATGGAATGATTAAACTACATCTAAATGGAGGCACGCAGCAAGGATTTTTTTTTTTCCCCACTCATTTATTTTCTCGCCATCAAGAAACACATTCAGGTGACAAGTTTGCTGGATCTGTTTTGTTGTTAGAGCTCTCAAAAGCAGTTAATTTCATGCCAGTAACTGTACAGTTTGACCTGAATTTCCTCAGTTTCTAGTCCCCTGTTTCTCTTTCCCCCCTCAAAACCATATTTCAAACTCTTTCCTTAATCTGCTAATCCTTAACCTGAAGGGAGGGAACAAAACATCTAGATGAACAGCAGCTGCAGGATATTTATGTGCAGAATGATCAACAGAGAACAGACCTTAATAGCATGTTTCAAGGTCTGTGAGGAGCGTGATGGGTTTCTGGGGTTCTGCGTGAAAGGTGATAGGTGTTGGTTGTAAGGTTGCTCTGAAAGCCTAACCATGAACCTTTGCCTTTTATTAGAAGTGAAATGGTAGCACAGGTTGCACTGAGAGCAGCGCTTTTGGGTTTTGTAGCCTAAATAAAAGTGGATGGATCTGAGCAGCTGGAGATTTGTTTTCCAAATTGATTCCAGTCATGAGTCGCTGAGGCTCTCAAAACCAAATACCAATTTCAGACCTGGAGCCTGAGTTGTTAAACTCAGAAGCTGTTTTAACATTGACTTAGTAGGGTTATAGCTCTGAGCATCCTTCTGTAAGTTGCAGTATCTCATATGTGGGAGGTCTTGTATTTGTTTTTTTGCTGGATTGCTTTGAAAACTTTGAGAGATTTTGGAGGTTGAAGGACATAACAGAATTGCTTCTGGCCCTAAGACTGACTAATCGAGTCCTTGGAGAAGTGCAATAAGTGTTTTATGATAGAAAAATAGTGTTTTTTAATAAGAAGGCTGCCTTGTTTGTCATGCAAAGACCTGAGGCAGCAGTAAAGTTGTTTATTGGATTGTGCCTTCTCTTTTTGCTGTCACTGGGATGAGCTACAGTCAGCTACATTTGAGCAGGTTGGAGAACACCACTTTCTGTGTCTGTCCCATGTTATTTCACAGTTTCCTTTGCAAGCAGGGAGGCTGATACGGCAAATGCAGAACCCTAACATGATAATCGTGGGAAATGCACTGGCTGTTTGAACCCTGATGGAGGTGATTTTAATAACTGGAGTGTTTTGCGTTTAGCTGAGAAAAGACCATTTAATTGAAGTCGGTAACTGCAAAGATTCTGTAGCTGCAAAACTGTAACTTGGCACTTGCCTTCCCTTACCAGTTCACAAAGAAGAAGAACACAAATGATCTTGTCTTGGAGGACTGAATCTGTAATGAGTGACTTTCTGTCTAGCTTCAGGGATACTTTGGTTGCTGGCATCAGCATCACGCACTGGCTGCCTCCTGGAGCCATTTTCAGCAGCAAGCACTATTTAAGCTGTCCCTTCTTTTGTTTTATGTTTTATGTGTCCCAACTTATTGTAGTTCTTATTTTACATTGTGCTCATATTTTACATTGCATCTGAATGGGGCCTGGGAAGGACTGAAAACAGCCACAGATATTTTCTGATGAGGGAGAATATGCACCTCTACCTTGTTAAATGAAGCTCGGTACAGCTAATTGAGCCTTTGGCCGAAAACCAGGCAGTCCGTGCTCTCCTAGTGCACTAATGGGTCAGAAAACTTGGAACTTCACACAGATGAGCCTGTTCAAGAGAGTAACCGAATATAAACTGTTCCAGTTTTGCCTCTCCAGCACAGATATTTGTCACCAAATCTCCTGCTGTGAACAGTACATCAGACTGCAGTGCAGCCTTGTTTTTTAGGGGCTTATCAGTTCTACTAGACATTATAACAGAGCTGATGGGATGGAGTGGCGGGGAGCGAAAATGTTAACCGAGGACGAAGTGACCATTTGAATATTTGAGTCTTTCCAGTAGATCCTGTTTCACTTGCTTGAATTGATTCTTCCCAAAGGGAGCTCCTCACATTATCAAGACAAATTGCATACAGCTTTGCGAAAGTTCTGTTGTGGTTTCTAGAAGAAAGTTATATACTGAGGAAAAGAAGCACAGATTTTGCCATCCTCCTGTTGCTGTTTTATATTTGTGTAATTTATTTGTGTTGTGACGACACTGCAAAATCCAAGTTTTGGCTTTGGCACTGTCTGTGCAATTTATCCTGAGAGCCAGAGAGCAGGACCAGATGCAGATATGCTTGCTGGTAAAGATACAAGCTACAGACAGCCTCATAAGCCATTACTGCTGACGCACTGGACAGACGAGCCTTCTGTTTCTTAGTGTAAGGGAGGTAATGGACGGGGTAAACCATGAGGAATTTTGCAAGTGAACAGAATTATCTTGTTTATTTTATCTAGTCATTAATACGTATGTGTATATATTCACTATATATTAAATGTATTTCACTGTTTAGGAGTATCAGATGCCTGCGGAATATTATCCACTGGAACTTGATCACCACCTTCATCCTGAGGAATGTGATGTGGTTTCTGCTTCAAATGATAGATCACAACATACATGAAAGCAATGAAGTAAGTGCTTGGAGGCAACATGCCTCTGCCTTGTAGTTTGGGGGCAGGCAGGGATGCTGAATTTCTTCAACTGATAGAAATATTACAAAGGGGACCTATCCACATGCTTAGAGTGACTTTCATGTAATTAAAAAAAAAAAAGACTAAGAAAATGAACTTAGATTTGCTCAGTTTTCATTTATTTCATCATTATTGAGTATCAAAAGGTTTTCTTAAACTAAAAAACCCACCCAAATGCTGCTTTCTTATTTCTTCATCGACCATAGATACTTTCCAAATTTGTATACTGTGAGACACAATATTGTGTGAGACACTAAATTTGGTGTTTCTTGAACATTTTTGTCAGAGCATCTTGCAGTGATGTGCACTTCTGTAGGGAA